ATTTCTAAATTAAACTAATCCTTGATGTTGCAAGCACTGCATAGATACATTTGAACTATTCCTTATTTATAATGTTTATTCTGTTAGATATTAGTTGGCTCCGTACAGATGACCATTTCAGCACTGGACAGTACCACCGAAGGTTAAATCAAGTTCAGCACTGGATAGGGCCTGTGGTGACTGCACAGCGGTGGCAGACAAGTTTCCAGCCATTTCAGCACTGGACAGTCCCACCCCAGGTTATATCAGGTTCAGTACTGGACAGGGACTGTTGTGACTACGAAGAAGGGGCCGAAAAGGCGCCAGCCATTTCAGCACTGGACAGTACCACCCCAGCTTAAATCAGGTTCAGCACTGGACAGGGCTTGTGGTGACAGAACAGCAGGGGCACACAAGTTAATTATTTTGGTTGAGGGCTTTGGGCGGCTGCACATCACTCATCCTTTGAAACCCGCCCATCAAATTCTTTCCAATATTTCAGAATTTAACCCTTTGCCATTAGCCAGCACTTCAGACAGGATCCTAACTCCTTCAACAGCGCCCATACGAGCCTCCTCAGGTTCAGAACTGGACAGGGCCTGTTGTGACTGCACTGCAGGGGCAGAAGAGGCGCCAGCCATTTCAGCACTGGACAGTACCACCCTAGGTTAAATCAGGTTCAGCACTGGACAGAGCCTGTGGTGACTGCACAGCAGGGGCAGACAAGGCGCCAGCCATTTCAGCACTGGACAGTACCACCCCAGGTTATATCAGGTTCAGCACTGGACAAGGCCTGTGATGACTGAACAGCAGTGGCAGACAAGGCGCCAGCCATTCCAGCACTGGACCATACCACCCCAGGTTAAATCAGGTTCAGCAATGGACAGGGCCTGTGGTGACTGCACAGCAGGGGCAGACAAGTTATTTGTTTTGGCTGAGTGCTTCTGGGGGGCTGCACATCCCTCAACCTCTGAAAACCGTCCATCAAATTATTTTCAATATTTCAGAATTTAACCATTTGCCATTAGCCAGCACTTCAGACAGGACCCAAACTCCTTCAACAGCGCCCATTCGAGTCTCCTCAGGTTCAGCACTGGACAGGGCCTGTGGTGACTGCACAGCAGTGGCAGACAAGGCGCCAACCATTTCAGCACTGGACAGTACCACCCCAGATTAAATCAAGTTCAGCACTGGACAGCACGTGTGGTGAATGCACAGCAGTGGCAGACAAGGCGCCAGCCATTTCAGCACTGGACAGTCCCACCTCAGGATAAATCAGGTTCAGCACTGACAGGGCCTGTGGTGACTGCACAGCAGTGGAAGACAAGGCGCCAACCATTTCAGCACTGGACAGTACTACCCAAGGTTAAATCAAGTTCAGCACTGGACAGCACGTGTGGTGAATGCACAGCAGTGGCAGACAAGGCGCCAGCCATTTCAGCACTGGACAGTACCACCCCAGGTTATATCAGGTTCAGCACTGAACAGGGCCTGTGGTGACTGCACAGCAGGAGCAGACAAGGCGCCAGCCATTTCACCACTGGACAGTACCACCCCAGGTTAAATCAGGTTCAGCTCTGGACAGGGCCTGTGATGACTGCACAGCAG